GATAAAAAAAAAAAAAAAAAACGGTTGAAAAATATACATAAAGATCCTCTACTAAGGATCTGGTATTTACCAGACACTCAATAAATGGCAGTTGTAATTATCATAACTTCCTTCAACTACATGGGAAGAAAGCTGATGACTTTATAAAGCATCCCATTCCATTTTTAAGTTATTTTAACTATTAGCAATGTATTATAATATCAGCTCCAAACCAAATCTACCTTTTAATGCTAGTTTTACTTCTGGAACTATTCATAAAAGTCTTTTCTCTAACTAAAAGTCCTTCAAACTCTGTTAGTAATAGATAAACTTCTTCCTATGAATTTGCAAGGCAAGATTGATACTTGCCATTTAATCAATGTTTCTTCTCATGACATGGTCAATCTTCCAGGTAAGCTCCACTAAGTCTCTATAGATTAGAAACTAGGTCCAAATCTGAAGACATATCTCTTGGGTAGCACGATCTTCAAGGAATAATAAATACTCCTAATATATACTTTCATTTATTTTTGACACCTACACTTCTGTTACTACCACCTGAGACTTGATTAACACTTGTGGCAGGCCTGACATTCAATTGACTCATACAGAGCCTGCAGTCAACTGTTTTCACACATCCCTACCTGAACTCAGGAAGCTGAAGTGTTTAACTCAAATATAGGAATTTATTTTTTATCCCTATTAAATTTCCTCTTTAAATGGGCTCATTAATAACACCTTTTGAAGGGCCTGAATTTTGTCATCCAATGTGTTATTTTGCTCTTTCAACTTCCTATTTGCGGTTTGGTAAGTATGTACCTAACTTCTAAAATATGTTATCAACAGATCAGAGTTTGTTGAGATACTGTTAGAGATCTTATTTCAAGTTGACACTGTGTAGTAACTCATCTTGTTCTAAAATCAGAGTTCAAAAAAACGGCAAAATTATTTCCTATTTTTCCCTAATTGTCCTACAGATATCAAAGTACTCACAAGTCCGAAGCAGATCAATCCCAGTATTGTGGTTTCCAGGATCAACAAATTTTGCCATGAACTGCTCATTTAGGGTGAAACTCATGCATCTTGTGACCACATCAAATGATTCTGGAACAAGAACAACAATGATTGCTTGTTATTTTAGTTATAAGCATTTAACAAAAAATCTCTTTTGAGTAATTATTCTCTGAAATAAAGTGATACAGAAAGATGTTCCCAGAGGAGACAGCAGCCTCTTTAGCCCTGACATGTAGGATCAATGCCCAATAGATGCCAGTGGTTCTCAGTGGCAGGCTTAAGACATGGGCACAAGAAAGGGAGAAAAAAGTAGGAGGATATGAATGAGGACATGTAAGAAGATGAGAAAGGAGGAGGGACACAAACAAACAGAACTTTGATCTTCTTCCCTAACCTACTCCACCAGCCATCTTCCTCATCTCAGGTAATGACAATTCCACCCTTCCAGTTCCTCAGCCTAGAAATTTTAGTCAATCTTACCCACATGCATCCCATCAGGAAATTCAAGAGGCTCTACCTTCAAAATATATTTAGAGTCCAGCCAGTGCTCAGTACTACCACCCTGGTCTGAGTCACAATCATCTCTCACCTGAATTAGTGCATAAACCTCCTAACTAGTCTCCTGGCTTCCACCATTGCCTGTCACGTGTATTCAACTATCAGCCTAGGTGACCAGATCATCTCTCTTCTGCTCAAAGCACCCCAATGGCTCCATCACATTCAGAGTAAAAACTGAAGTCCTCTTCATGCCTAGAGAATCCTGCATGATTTGCACTACCCCCACTCCCAGAGCACACGTCTCTGACAGAATACCCACTCTCCCTCTCCTTCCACTCCAGCCCAGGGGCTTCCTTGCTGGTCCTTGACTATTTTAGGCATGCTCCCAACACAGGGCCTTTGCAGTTATTGCTTCTTCCAACCTAAATGATTCCCTCTGCTTCCATAATTACCTATTTGGCCAACACCTTCACCTATATCAAGTCTTTTCTCAAGTGATATCTTCTTGTTGGAGCCTATCCTGCCTATACTACTGAATATCGTAAACTTATGCCCACCAACATAGTATGTATTTCCAACTTCCCTTTGTTATATTTTTTCATAGCACATGTCATCTTCTAACATACAATTATTTATTGTTTATACTATGGTTATACCTATGGTTATTGCCTGTGACCCCTTACTAGAATGTAAGTAGTTCCCCCAGGAGTAAGAATTTTTATTTTTACTTTCTCTGATGTACTCCAAGCTTCTAGGCCCTGGAACATGGAAACATACAATAAATATTTGTTGAATGAAGGATAAATGGTTGCTAAGATTCAAATATCAAGTACTCCTATGTTCTCATAGAGTTAAACATTTTACAATAAATTTTAACCAACTTTCTCTCTTGCAAACTACCTTTTTCCCCCCATATAAAATCACAACTACCATTCTTCTGATGTATGGCAGCTCAAGCCTGTTGTGCTGGGATCTGAATACAGTGATTCTCACCAAGAGGCCAACAGACGTAGCCACAAATAAAACACAAAATATAAAGTTGTTCCTTACAAAAAGCTCTAAAGTTTCCATTTTAATAACTGGAAATTAAAATTTTTAAATGTTAATAATGCTTGCATAGTACGAGGAAGGCCTGAGGAG